GTATGTTGCTGGTTAGATATTCCACGGCGTTATCTATATCATCTGCAGTTTTGAAGTGTATATTATATGACAAGTTTTCGATTTGATACTTTTTAAAGAGATTCTAGTGTGTACATCTTCTAATCAGGAATTGCATTTTGTCTTTTTCAATAATTGTGGAACTAGTATACAGAATCATTGGGAAATGGTCGGAGTTAAGGTCAAGATAAGATTTAATAATAATAATAATAATAATAATAATAATAATAATAATAATAATAATAATAATAAATGCCTTTATTAAGGTTTCATTAAGGCCTACATTTCCCACGTGTTTTCTCTCCTCTTTCATAAAACATCAAAAATATTTCCACTGTATGTTAAAATATTGACACACAGCATTTTAATTATCATCTCCCAAATGTTACAATTGTTTACTGGTTTTGACCGGTTTTCATGCCATAAACTGTGTACCATATTCATCGTGTTTAAAAGGTAAATGACGGCATATCAACCCTATTCCTCTGACGCATACTATTGGTATACTGTGACGTCATGGATACTCACAGCGACCACAGGACACAGAATATTCAGTATAAACAAATACTACTTTATTAACAAGAAACAAAACAAAATATATACACTTAATAATCTATTTCACCCTACGTCTCAGATAGACCTACTATCCCTGATCGCGGGGAGCGATCCAAACCATTGAAGATGGTTTTGATTGTGGCATTCGCCACTCCACTTTTGAAGCGCGCACAAAGCCTAGCTTCCTGACCGGATGTCACACTGGGACACAAAGTCCGTTCTGGCGCACCAACGGCTGGTTTGCTCGATCGCAGGAGCCATCTTATCCGATTGAGAATCGGCGTGAATCGTGGCACTCACCACTCTTCACCTCTGGAGCACGCACACAGCATCGCTCCCCGTGACCGCAGTCACCAAGGACCTAAAGTCCGCAGGCTTCGTCAAACTAGTGACTCGAGCCTCGCGAGCCTGGCTCGCATATGCACCGTCGTGGCGCCAAGTTTTGTGCACACGCACGAGGTTTCCCACTGTCTCAGAACCCACCCCTGGCTCTGTACACTCTGTTATATAGGCGAGGCCCACGTGACCTACTACGTCACGCCACCCCCTCGCTTGTTATAACAGTGAAAAGTTTCTAAAAGCCGGAAGGACTCCCAAACCATGTGTCTCCCGTTTCCGCGTTCTTGCCTTTACGGAAAAACCCTTCTTCTGTGGCGAGGCTAATCCTCTACCAAGCGTCCCCAAATAGATGCCACGAGGCACGCTGGCTAATACGTTACAATAGTTTGTGAAGGTATCTCTTCATACTAGAGCAGAATAATTTTTCAGATAAAAACTGTGAAATTTGCCGTTGATTTCTTTCCAACCCCATCTTAATGTTTCGAAAATCATGAAACAAGACTGTCTAAAACAAAGAATATCTGAGCCCACCATTACCAACTGGAGTCGGAAATGCCCTCCTGAATACAAAAAATGTCTTATATTCGATCATTTCTCTTTTTCTGAATTATTTGAAGAACTCTTTTTTCATTCAACCTTTGTGAGATAACAATTCTATTCCTTCATTTGATAATAATTTTATTTTCGAAACTTAGTGATATATTTGCTACCGTTACGAAACAACTCATGAATTTGACGATGATGCGAAGCTGGCTGTCGCATCACGGACATCTCATTGGCGCTCTGCGTCCCAGCTCCCAAACCTTCGCCTCCTTTGAACACCTATCATCTTCCAGTAGGACTGGGAACCCCCGTGGTCACGTTGCTAACGACTGATGACTCCATAGCAGGGGGAGGGGGCTCTATCTTGACCACACTACACACGCATGCGTAGTCATGTTTGCCAACTATCCTGATCTACTACGTGATTTAGGAGAGGTGTGCTATCAGTACGACAAACAACCGCACGCGGCTGATAGTTCTTTGTTGCCAGGTTTTTGTACTGAGGGTTGTTGAGAAAGTGCCGAAATTTTCTTGAAACTACATTTTGGAGAATAACATGTCTTCCACAGAGAAAAATCAGTGTTTTAAATAACGTGATAATTAGAAGTCAATTTTCATGTAAAAAGATGCAAGCACATGGTTTGTAGAAGAGGATGAGTTACACGAGGCAGGAAGTGGCAAGTGAAAACTCCCAATATCCTTTGAAAGGTTTCAATAACTCTATTGAAGTCTCAAGTAGATGATGGCAAATCGATCTTTAATTAAACAATTAGGTGTATTGTTCATGCTTCTATGTACTTTTTTGTATTATTTTGTTTATTACTGACAGCAAGCACCACAAAATTAGCAATTCTCAAAGATGTTTCAGTAGGTATGTACATCGTAATACGGGATACATAAACATTAGTACGATGGCGATTAAATACCTTAATTCGTCTACCTTGTTGAAAACAGATCGTATCCCCCTGCTTAGTGAGCAGGGGACGCCACTGCTTATAACGAATACACGCTTTTTTTTATTGCCGGATAATTGTCCAGCATTTTTAATGATGTAGACTCAAATTAAGAGAATTCAAATTCAACAGCTGAAAAGTGCTGCAAAAATGCAAAGCTGCAAAAGTGTTTCAATGAAGTGCATTCACTAGGGGAATCAAACATAAAGAAACTATCTTCGTTCTTTATCTTTTTCTTCATCTGTATTTGAAGTACTTCTTTTTTAAATACACCTACGTTATGTATTTAAATACATCGCTAAAATATGCGCCCAAAAAACCCACCGTCTGAAGTACAATTTTTTATTTTTATTATTATTTTTTACTCTCTCACTTAACAATTGTTTTTAAGACGGAAAAGTTATGTAATCGTGCGCCAGAAAACGGCTATTTTTTCAATTCTTTATTTTCCAAATATCAAAACCGAAGTATTTCTTTAAGAATATTAAAGAAGAGGAAAACCTCGTCATAAATGACAATTTTAATTGAAAAAATTGGAGCTGTTTTTAAGAAAATGGCGTTTAAGCGCTATTGAAATGCGATATTTGAAGCTCTTTCTACAAAACCATTTGGGGGTTTTCAAAGAAATTCATTTGAAATCATTTGAAGTAATTTCACTCACAAATGCTATAGTTTTTACAAATTGCTGATGCGTTTGCATTGTTACATTTGTTAGTTAGTTAGTTTGTTTGTTTTTATCAAAATTATATTTGCTTTCTTTCGGTTTGAGTCCTTGCTGCGAATTTCGTCGAAAAATTGGATTTCAACTAATGGTACTACAGAATGGCACATACTTTCCTGTACTAATTTACTTTGGTCTCGGCTAGCTATTCGAATTTGCCACATACTCCTACCACCTGTCGCCAACCCAAGTATTTTTTCTTTTTCTCAAACGTTCTTAATTTTTTGGCTTTCGTAATCGTAGAACGGAAATATTATTTTAAGTATATTATAGAACAGTAAAACCTCGTCCTAAATTGCAGTTTTCTATAAAGCATATGCAGCAGTTTTTAAGAAAAGTTTTTAATAAAATAAAGCAATTAGAAATGTGAAGCTCTTTTTCACAGAAAATATTTGAGTTTTCGAAAAACTTCATTAGATGTCATTTGAAGCACATTAATTCAAAAATACAATAGTGTTTACAAATTGCTGGGAATGTGCATATTAATAGTATGATAGATCTCTCAAAAATGTAAATTTGTGTAATTTAAAAAAAAAATGAAATTTGCATCATATTAAAGAGTGTAAGTATCACTCTCCGTTCGAAGTAAATATTATCATGACCTTAGTGATGATTAAAGATCGGATTTTCATGCAGTCAAACTCGAAAACGTGAAGTAAAAACACCAAAACGTGCAAAAAATGCAATAAAAAGATCATGACTTTGCAAAACGATGTTATGTAGCCTAAAAACTCCAGTTAATGCATTTATCCACGATATTTTGAATGTGATATTTAAAATGAATGAAATATTATAATTTTAGTTTAGTTCGACTTTTTGTTTAAACAACCCATATTTGACATTTCAAATATTCGCACACAAAATTAAATGAGTATAAAATTACAAAAAATTAACATAAAAATTGAAAAAAACAAATATTCCTTCAGATGTACAAAATAATTAAGTTGTAGAAGAAACTTTATTTTTTTCATTATAGCTTACAATTATCTTTATTTCCAAATTATTTTCTGAGAAATTACTATGTATCTTCTACAAACTAATGTATGTTTCAGACAGGTACAACTTCATTCTACATTTATATTTGTCTGTGTATCGAGCCTCACACACGTACGTGTGCACACTGCGGTCAAAAACTGCAATTCTCTCTTATGCCTCACAGTGCAACGTCGGTTCCGAGAAATTCGATGAATTTGAAATGCAGTGCATCTCTAGTGCAGCTTTACACCAAGTTTCCGCCCGGACGAAAGGTCAGATGTGACTCGTTCATGCCGTTTCGTATTGGTAAGTTCAGCGAGACTGACAGGAAGGAAGATTGACCCCGAATTGGCTGAGCGGCTGCAACCAAGGGCCACGGACATAGTTCGTGGTACACGGCATATACCTGCTGCAATAACTCAGAAATTTTATGACTTTGACTTGATAGTCCTGGTGACAGAAGAAAACAGTTGATTTGGTGACCTACATAATATTTGGACTTGGCTTTTAACACAACTAAAGTCTTGAAGAAGATAGCTTAGCTTTTACACAAATAAAGTCTTGAAGTTTCACAAAATGTTAATGGCTCGTACATATTATGATTATGTGTTAGTACAACTCGTTCAGGCACTACAAGTAAATGACAACTTATTTTTTGTGAGCTACATCCTTTAGTGGTTGTTTATATTATGGAAAAAATGTGGAAAATCAACATATGTTTTCCCGTGAAACATCTGAGATTGAGAAGAAAATGTTTAGACGTGTGAATGCGAATTACGAAGATGGGAGGAATTTGTAGTCTACTTTTGACTTGAAATAACCATCTAACTTCACCCGCCGTTTACCACCCACAGGCGACGGTGCTGCCCTCTGAACTACTAAAAGTCACCTATTCTGGACATTTGTAGTGACTTCTGACGTTTCAACGTGGTGGTTATCGATTCAAAACTTTCGATACAATTTTTAATATTAAAGATTCCGATTGGACAACCGTGTCCCCACAGTTTCAATATCAGAAGTCGCTTTTATGAAATTGGAATATAAATGTGCACCAAAGATATAAGCAGAGTATTATAAGGTTATATGAGCGAATTGACTTTTTCGATCATTGGAACGCAGCTATCCAATCGGGAATTTTAATATTAAAAATTAAGTTGTAACAAAGCTCTAAACTAGATTAAAAAACCGAATAAAAGTAGTGTAGATCAGAGAGATATATTGTGATGGTTTGACACATTTAGCTGATACAGTCGTGGTGATATTATCATGATCTTGAAATGCCGAAAATGTCGGAAAATAGTGCTCGAACCTCCTCAAATTGTTGTTTCTGCTCATGGCAAAATTGTGAATGACGAAGAGGAGTGTTTGTCTGTGTTACAAAATTCTTTATGGTACTTGCTTGATGATACTGTTCCAAAGTGGATTTCTTTGGCGGTAGAAAAGGTATGAACATGTGGTTGTATGATTCTTTTATTTCGAATTTTCAGGATTATTATTTTGTTTATATTTTGCGCAGGACAATTGGACAAGAGGAAAGTTATCATGCCCGCATTGCAAAGCAAGACTTGGATCCTTTGACTTCGTGTCCGGCAGTAAATGCCATTGCCAAAAATACATATTACCGTCTGTGCATATTGTTAAAGAGAAAGTCGATTGTTCCTACGTTCAGATGTAATTAAGAAACACATTTAAACCAGGATTTACGGATTTGGAAATTTAGACGTGACTATTACTATTTAAGATGTCTCATTCATTGGGTCCATCAAGTTCAGTACATTACGTTTTATTGACTGGAAAACCAGGTATTGGAAAATCAACATTGGTGAAGAAAGTGTGTGAAGAACTTACCAATAAAGGAATCAATGTCAGTGGTTTTTATACAGAAGAAGTAAGAAAAAGTAATGGTGGTGGCAGAATTGGCTTTGATGTGGTGACATTGAGTGGAGCACGAGCTGCTCTTGCTAGGGTTTCTGATACTAATGCTGGAAGGCAGCCACGAGTTGGTAAATATTCTGTTAATGTGAAATTGTTTGAAGATATTGCAATGCCTGTACTTCAAGAAGCTCATTCTGCTAATTCAGTTTTAATTATTGATGAAATTGGGAAAATGGAAATGCTAAGTGAAATGTTCTGCAGAGAGGTGAAGTCTATTTTTACAAAACCACAAGCTATTTTGGCAACTGTTCCTATAGGCAATAATTCTTTGGTTAAGACTATACAGTCTTTACCTTCTGCACAGACTTTTGAAGTTGATTACACAAATAGAAATTTCCTTCTTAATCCTGTTGTTGAGATATTATTGCAGTCTGTGAAGAGATGCTAGCTACAATGCACTTGTTTTTGTTAAATATGCAAATTAAAATATTTATTGAACACTGATGTTTGGAAGACTTATTTCCTCTCTCTTTGTGGTATTGTGTTAATTATTCACTAATGGCAGAGTTATATAGTATGATTTATTTAGTCATGCTCATGACACATATCAGCTGTTACGGTTTCACCCATTCGGGAGTTATGTGTCGCTACAGTAACGTCGGTATGAGGATGTTCAAGCTTCTGATTGGGTGAAACCATCAACAGCTGATTTACTGCAAATGCATGGTTACATAAGTATTACCTTTGTCTTCACTTTATTCCCTTTAATAGGTCTGCATTCAATATACTTTTTTGGTTGGTCTGTTACTTTTATTCATAGATTTCTTGCATATTTCTTGGCGAGAGAACAGGTTTTTCTAGTACGATCTCCAGAATTTTAACTTGTACCAGTTCATAAACATATTGCATTGATTTTGCATCATTTGCTGTGTTACAAGTAATTATCTTTGGTTTTCACATATTTAATAAGTGTGATAACTAAATTGGTAATATTAATGATTATAATGCTGCAAATTATGAACATTGATGGAAACTAAAGGAAATTTGATATAAATCTATGAGTAAAACATTTCTCACCATTAAGCTCTAAGTATTTGTTTCCAATGTATGGTTCATTGGCTGAAACCTTTTATTCTTCATAAATTCTCACTGCAGCTCACTCTTGTCCATGTTTACTTACATTCAAGATTGGTCAGGTTTATTTACAAAAGTTCCATGGATTCATAAATTTACAGTATTTGCTATCTTGCCTTCATCTGCAGGTTTTCTCTTCGCTAGTTTTTGTTACCAAATGGTTCTAATAACCTTGTTTGTGTAAGAAATTAGCTTATCTTTAATTCTTTTTTTACTACACAGAATAGTGGCATCACTGCTTTTGAATTTTTGCATACTAAAGTTAGTAACTACAAAATTATTTCATTTAATAATTTCACTGCATTACATGTTTGTATTTTTTCAAATGTCTTTAAGACTTCATATATTAGTTAATAGACATGTTACTCATGTTACTATCATGATCCAGTGTTACATCATGCACTGAAACAATCCCACATTTTTAATAATGTGAAATTTCTTTCTACTTCTTAGTGGGCACATCAGTGTATTCTATCCACACGTCTTTTGTTCTTTCATTCCTGGTCACTGCATGCCACACACATTTTCTTTATATCAATATCTGCTGATGTTCAAATGTAGTTTAGTTTTTAGTAAACGTTTTGTAAAAGACTGCATTGTGTCAAAGAATTCATATGAAAGTCGTGTTAGTAAAATATTTGTGCACTACTTTTTAATTGTTTGTATATTTACATTATTCAAGTTATTTTTAAAATATTTCCTTTTGTACTGAGGAGAAAATTGGTTACAAGAAGACTTCATTGCTTACGTTGTTAAAAAAAGCGACCACAAAGTGTAATATGTTCTAAATTTGCATTTACAACACTCACATTATGGAATACTGTGGGCAAAAATGAAAATTTAATTTATTTAGAAGAAGAATGTTAGTGGTTTCACAGAATCATTTCATTCAATTACTGGATTTTTTTTTTTTATTTTAATATTTTAGTTATATTAAATTTTGTCAATTACCGTATTCACAAGAAATGGAAAAAAAAACATTCATCATACCATACTAGCTACCAACAAATTAAAATTTATTGCAATATAATTTGAACTATTTATTACACCAAATTTATAATGGCGAATAGCGAATGGAATTAACTGCATGCTCTCCCCCCACCCCGAACATACATGAGAAAGGTATGTCTGCTTTGTCTGCATTTCCGTCATGTTGTATGACTTGCTGAAAACTTTTCCAACAAAACAAAAAATGTTTCAAAACTTGTGATAAAGGCTATGCTAACTTTTATAGATCCATTAAGCTTAAGGTGAGGACTAGTGAATGAAAATAGGTTCCTATAACCGTGACAATATTGTGATGTTTTTCTAATGAACTGTCTTAAACTAAGATATCATTCTTAATCTTGGTTTACTACAGTGCTTTTTTGTGAATTGAACATAAGTTTTGTTTTACACGACCATGTATGGTTAAGTGATTCACTTTGTGGTAAAATTTTTAATGCTTCAAGGGAAAAATTATCCTGCATTCCAGGCAATTCATATTTCTAAATTAAGGCTGCAATGTGGTGTCATTGCTAAAGATCAAATTTCTTGGACAGCCAAGTACTAGACAATGACCCTGGTGAACTACTTTCCTCAATGCATTAAAAATCCATGTTATGATTGAAATTCATCAAAAAATAATATTTAACGTAACAACTATTAAAGGTTCACTGTAAATTAACTTCTTAGAAACATTTATTGTAAATTATTGTTCACAAATATGCAGGTCATTCTGCAGAACATGCACGCTTGAACACTGTGCTGTGAGTGTTTACAAAGGGACATAAAGACTAGAAAAAAAACCTGCTTTTCAGGTTTCTCACGACTGTCATGACACTGATCAACAAGAATACTATTTTATATAAATCTTACGTTCTCTCATACAAAGGCATTTGACACTGCCATATACTTTATACTTTGCTGTTACCTGTTGCTCCCCAGTCACATCACTAAATAACAATGTAATAATTAAAATTATAAATAACAATTAACATTTCTGTGTTACATCAATCTTTAGAAATGAATCCTGAAGTGTTGTAACATCAGTCAACCGTTCTAAAACAAAGGTTTACCATTTCAAATATTGGTTCTTATTTTAAATTTTACTACATCACTGAAAAAATGTATTACGGTATGCAAAATATGTTTTGAGGTATGAAAATATGCAATACCATTTAAGTCACCTGAGAGGTAACACATAAACCAATGACATCTAAGGGCGTTTTTAGTTTTATTTGCTTTTTAATGTTTGATATTTGGCAGAAGAGGACAATGAGTTTGTCTAAAAGCATGGAATACTTTTAGTTACACACATACCATTCCACGTTTGTAGTAAACTACAAAACCAAGATGGTCAATAATGAATTGAATCATGGAAATTCTTGTTTTATACTCTAGTTCTGTGATAAAATAATGCTTCAATACAGAACGAACCTGCAGATGCTGTTTGTTTATAAAACGCATGAGAAATTTTCAAAAGTACATTATTGATGAATAAGAATAAAATAGTTAGCCAAATATTATTGTACATAAAAATAAAATTAAGTACATAATATTTCAATTAGAAACAACACAACCACTTTTTACTTTAATAATTTTGTATTTTATGGAACCGATCTGCTGGAGCTATCAAATGATTTTTTTAAACCTTTTAAGAAAGAAAGAAAGAAGAAAGTTAATATCTTTCAACGAGTAACATCGTTAAGAAGCATAGTAAAACAACATACATTTCATTTGGTCAGATACAAGAAAATCCTATTCTTTTTTCTTTTTGTTTCATAATAATAATTAATCTAATGTGAAACACCCGCCTTTTATGCACATACATTTCTTGAAGATAGATCAAACATTTTTGCTACTACAATATTTTAATAATGTTTCTGGTATAATCACACAATATAATTCCTTCACATATTTACATTCTTGAAAAAGAACATAATTTTGAAATGCCAGTGCAAAATTGTGACTGACATATTAACAAAAGTAAAGGTCTTTTTATGGAAAAAGTCCATATTTTTGTTTTATTCGTGACATGACAACTTGGCAGCACTGTCTCATTGAGTGCATAAACCACAATCACCATCACCACCAACACCACTTTATTGTATCTGAGGGCGTCGAAAGTAAATCACAATTCCCAACAGGCCAACCAAAGTAGTAATCAGGTACAAATCCCAGTTTGAACCTAAAGTTTGGTCCAAATTGAAAAGTAGAAACCATTCCTGCCATCGATGCTGTAATAGAAGAAAATTGTATAACATCCTTTAAAGCTTATCACCGTAATTGTCAGAAATATACATACTCCAATATTTACAAAACACAATTTACTCAGTTTTTCATTGTTGTACCATTCTCCTTAGTAAATTTTTAAGAAATAATTAAGGTTGAACTAAACTGGTCTAAGTGACATTTTTAGAGATTTAGAGTTTTTCGACCACTTGCACTAAAAAAAATTATATCTAAACTCAACGTGGAGAATGTTCTTTAATTCTTAATTTGCAATTTTCCACTTTAGCATTGTTATTAATGGTAAAAGAATATTATCCCTAACTGTTCTCTCTTGCATATCAGCCTTTAGACATCTTCGATCATAATAAAAAGTATTTGTAAAAGTAGCCTCTGCAGTAGTGCACCTACATATAGAGTGCCTAATGATAACAGGACCAAATGGGTGAAAGTTTAATGCAGAAGTGAACTCATAACCAGGAATGCACAGAATGTTATTGTAGCAGTATAGTTTGGTGCTATTTTGAGAAAATTTTGAAAATGTTTTAGAGTCTGGCTGTCCTCAAAAATCAAAATATCCATACGAAACTCAAGCCTTGAGTTCATTCATATTAATCATGGAATATAAATTTCGAGAAAATAGACTGAATTGGCCACCACAGATTTTTTGCCATCAATCTATTTTTTGGTTTTAAGGAGCCACAAAACATGGATTATTGGCCAAACGATAAAAGAAATAATTTACTGTAGGAAAAGACTTTATCCGCTTTTCTGGTGCATGATTGCAACGCTTTCTCTTTTTACGAAATCAGTGAGACCTGAATACATGAGCTCAAAATTCCGCATTTTCAGAATGCTGAAAGGCTATTTTTTGCTTAAAAATAGCTCAGAAGTTTTCCTGTTAAATTTTTGAGTAGATGTGCTAAGTGGACTGAATAAGATATCTTAAATGCCACATTTGTGTAAGTTTTTAAAACTCTAATACATTAATGTAATATTTAAAAAAAAAAATCTCTCACAATGTTAATACAGTCTACTCCAGTTACAGTGAACTTCTGGGGACTAACGTTTTTGATTCACTATATTCAATGATGTCAAAATTAAATAGAATTTTTCTAAATGGATAGATTTTATTAATATAGAGATACAATGAAATACAGTAACAGCCGGAACTGAAAATTTCAATATCATTATTTGGACTTGAAACGTACTAAGAAAACAAAAGAAAGTAAATTATTTTTTTATTAGTTATTTCTCTCGGTCCGTTACCTGCATAGAACTCAATGCACTTTGTACCACTGAATATCAAGTAACACCAAGATTGATACTGAAGTAAGCAATCGCGTGTCGCCCATTGCCAGTTGTACTCCGTGCAGGACAGCCTTTGTTTACACAGTGAAACAGAGTGGCATAAGGTCATCGGTAAGGTCTCCATTCTGGGTCCGCTACCTTCATCTCGGAAGAGACTTCTTCGATTATGACCTTTCACTAACAATATTTTTTTCAAACTGCCTCGTGTTTGAATTTGTAGCACTGAAGCATTATTTTCTTTTCCAAGGTGCTTATTTGTAATGTATGTGAAATGGGACCAGTGACTTAAGTTCACTATAACCCGAGTGGAATGTATTTATATTACCAGCGATTAGCATACATTTTTGCACAAGTGCTTCAAATGTTTTCCAATTAAATTTCACCAAAACTCAAGTTTTCTGTGAAAAGAGCCTCAAATTTCACATTTACAGAAACGTTTGAATAACATTTTCTCAAAAATAGTTCAAAATTTTGATTTTACTTTTCTAAAATTATCTTAATTTCGTATTTCAATTCTATGAATACAAGGACCTAAAAATTGAGAAAATGTGAAAAAATTTACTTTGAGAGTCGATACATGGCAGCTGAAAAGAAAGTAAAATCAAAAAAACTAGCGGAACCAAGAAATCGGAAAACTGACTAGTATGATAAATTCTGCGCCACTTTTACTGCAGGGTAGGTAGATTTTTCTCTTTTGCCCTTACTTTTGTATCATAATATTTTTTTAATTTAGAAATTAATTAGTTTCAAAAATGCAATTTGGTAAATATTGTGTTAATAAGCTTTTTTGATAGACCAGTTTAGCTCCTCTGCTGTCAATTGGAGTCCTCATAAACCTCAATATGAGCTTGTAATTTTTTGAAAAGAAAATTAAGTTCTTACCTCTTGGATGTACTTCATAGTAAATAACATAGATAATTTCATAAGTGCAAGAGCAACTGGAACCTTTGCATCAGCACTTGTCTCAGCAGCCATATCATAACACCGTTTTGCTAAATGAATGTCCTGAAACACGGAATACTGACATTATTTGTTGTTAATTACACAATTGAAAATATTATAAATACTAAAAGGCAAATACCTGCTGCATTCCTAATCCTTGCTCATGCATATAACCTAAATTGAACATAGCCTGGGCATTATGCTGTTGTTCAGAAGCAAGACGATAGTGAGTCGCAGCCATCTCATAATCAATTGGAGTGCCCAGCCCATAATAGTGGTAGTCACCAAGTTTCACTTGGGCAGCAGAGCAACCTTGTGCTGCAGCTCGGCCCCAGTACATAAGAGCTCGTACATATGTTTCTTGTTGATCAAAAAGAGTAACATCACCTATATGAAAAAAATTATTAAACTCACATTAACTGGCAATAGCAAAAGATACTCCAAAGATCTTTGTGATCGTTCTTGGCATTGCCTATCAGAACCACCTAACAAAGGTATTGGAGAAGGGAGGGGGGGATCTGCTGTGACAAAGTGTTTGCAAATAAGAGTAACAGCCTGCTCCTAAGGAATTATTCACAGAGAATAACCTGAGAAACAAAACCTCTGCAAAAACAACTGAATCATGAATTACTAATTATAAAGAATACAATACTTGTCTGTTTTTCCTTTTCTGCCACCCATGAAAAGATCTCCTTTCTCAAACGCATAAATAATAACCATATAGGCCTGGGATAAGCAAATGGTTACAATGATTTATTGATTGATTGATTATTTTGTACTTCTGGGCATGTCAACTGAAATGTCCATTAGTCACAACAGTGTAATACGTGCATTATATTGTGGGAGATAGTAGTGTACTTTCCCTGCAGGAACAACATATCCAGTTCCAACTTACTCATCTTGTGAAGGTTTTAGCATCTAAGAATCTACGCCAGGGGGGCATTGCCGCAGCCATGACAAGCTCTAAGCTCCAGACTTGTGTGTAGTGTAGTGTAGTGTATGTGCTTGTGCTAAGGGAGTAGAGGGAACAAGGTTGAGGAAAAAAATATCACATACAGTCTGTGACATTTGTTATGGTACTACTTCTGCATTCGCCTAGTATTTATTGACCAAACTAGGAAAAATTATTGAGCCCAGAATCTAGAATTCTGCTCAACAGCAACTGAATTCAACCTAGTTTTCTAGCGAGTGTTGTAAATCCACTGTCACAGCTCAAACCCTAGTACCTCCCAGCCAGAATAGCTGGTGTGACAACAGTTGTACCTGAACCCATTGAACCAGTAGGTCTCAATGAATTAACATTGTTTTGATAATATACCTTAGAGCATAAGGATTTGTTCTTAATTTCCAAAACCAAAAAAAAAAAAAAAAAGCTTTTAGATTATGCTGAATACAAAGATGGATTCTTTGATTTCTGAACTATTTTTGAATAAGAAATCCCACCAATCTGCGCATATCCATTTTTACACATTAACAAACATGTTGGAAAATAAGAGAAAAAACTGCAGAGAAAATTTTACCTTTGTCTAAGAGAAATGCAGCATTACTCTGCGCAACTTCATATCCCAATTCAGCCAAAAGCGAATAGGTGAGAAACGACTCATCAACACGACCTTCGCGATAGTGAATATGAGCCTCCATTAATTTCTCACCCCATTTTCCTCGTTCTGCTACGTTTTTGAATAGCTGAATACAGAATTTATCTGGTGAAATACAAAATTGACAATCAAATATCAAATTGTTAATTCTTGTTTAATGACTTACCTCCACAGCAGTCAGACATGATCGCATCATTCCAGTGCCTGTGGCATGCATTTGAGCAAGGTTATAAAATGCTAGAACATGACCTGACTGGGAAGCAAGATTGAAGTACTTGATTGCCATTTTATAATCTCGCTGTACACCAAGACCACCTGAAATAAAATGAATATTTTCAATGCATAATAAGCTAAAGAAAGATTATGGTTTAGGGTGCTTTTTGTGAAACCAACTCAAAACCAAGGAAATGTATTAGGGCTGGATAGAGAATAATCCCCAGAGTTCCATTTAACAGCTTTAAGATGTGATAAGATGATGCCTGTTTTTGTGATAGACAATATTATCAACTCAATTGGCCAACTAACATTTAATAACAAACCTTTTGTCTGTTATAGTCTATCATCAGAAAACAGACGTTCCATTGGTGGATTGCTCATTCTGTATTTGCAGAGATAGTGATATGTGGAATCGGGATTTGTATGCAAATGCATACTTTTTTTTGCTAATTATTCCTTGAAAAATGATCACATATCTTTCCATTTTCCATATCCACAAATCTGTCCATTTACAACAATCCTGATAAATTTTATTTTGTCATATTTTATGATCACTGCATATTCAGCTTTTTTGAAAAATTAGGGGATTGTATTTTGGACAAGGAGACACAGGTCATCACATTCACTGTGTCTGACTCAAAGGAAAAATAAACACATGATAAATTGTGGTTTCCTTTTCTATGAGGAAATATTTTTCAGCAAGTGAGAGCTTATACGTGGGCATCACCCACCACACCATGTGCTAATTAGTCGTTAGTAGGACCAACGAAAGTAAGATCTCTTGGGTGACATTTGTGGAACTGATGTGAGATGATTCTCTCTTGGATGGCAGTTTTGTCTTGCCAATTGAGCTAGCAGCATGTGTGTAAGAGAGCTTCAGATATCCCCAAGTGTTACAGTAGTCTAAGTAGAAAATTAAATGCATGGCCCATGCCATTCAACAAAAACCACACTGTTTACTCAACAGATGGAAAGTAGGTACAAACATTTATTTCCTTGTGAATTTTACACAACATATTTATTGCATATTTTAAAGATTGATCATGCATATTACACGGCATATTTTAGAAATTTTTACTGCACAGAAATTCAGGGCTCTAGTGATGAGGAACCTTGTAGAATGTCTTCTCCTCAAACTTAAACAGTTGTTTTATAAACTACACACTTATGATTTCATTGTTATTTTCTGTAAAAATCACAAAGTACATTTCCTCAGTAGGTAACATTCATATTACCCAGCCCCCCTTGAAACATGAAACTGCTGAACATGAATAATGCTCTTAATTATGTAAACATTTTTATTTGTTATTAAAATGGAAATGTAACATGAAACTGGAACTTACTCCACAGTCAAAAACTTGAACCTTGAAAATCGCTTATTTCTGTGGCAGCATGACAGTACTTTCTTTATGAGAAAGTTAAATGGAGTGGCATATGGGCATAGTTGATAGGGCAGTAAAACTGTCCCATTCTTCATTTTAAGATTATAATCTTGCCACATTAACAGAAATTCTTGTGTAAAGCAATTATCTCCTAGCCTACTTTCTAAAATTCATTACAAAAGAACAATAAACTGATACTTAGGTCTAATACAAAAGGTGGTAACAGTATGGTAAATTTAGAAGCAAACTTTAATTAAACCAATTTGCATAATTTCCCTACTTTGACAGTATTAAAAAAGACTATGAGAATTGCTATGCATTAATACTTACGAAAATACATGTTACCCAACTGCAATTGGCCATCTACCCAGCCATGATCAGCAGCCTGAGTGAAATATTTAAATGCTTTGCTATAATCCTTATCAACACCTTTACCATAGAGGTACATTAGACCAAGACCACTCTGCCCAACAGGATTTTGAAGATCAGCAGCTTTTTTGAAGTATTTGTAAGCCGTGTCATTGTCTTGTTTGACAATATCACTCCCTTCAAGATATATCTGCCAGAATACAATGCAACATTAGAACAAAAAAGATGAGACGAATAGAAAAAATTAAGGCACGAAAGTTTATGAAAAATCATATTTTTTATTAAGAGTTTAATAATATGCTAATTATTAAATGTCCACAAAACATTAATCAAACAAACAGAAATTCAGTGATTTTGTACAGCATATTAGTGCACTTCAGGATAATGCATCATATTTCCATTATATTTAAGTTATTATTCCTATTTTATTGCATTTTTGTTCATAAAGAAGCAAATTTTTCTTAGAATTTCAATTAATATGCATATTTGTCTTCTCAAACCAAAGTGTACTTTACAAATGTGAATTTTACATGAGAAACATGGGAATGGCTATTGGAAACATAAGAAATCATAAGAATGTCTTTCATTCGTTGCAGCAGAATTTGTCTGAACTTCTTTTAGATGATATGGCGCTGAAACCCAAAAACTATTTGTTTGATTATGAATGATGTGATATTTTATCTTTAAGGAAGAATTTGCGGCATTGGAATTGACACTGTGACAATGATACAGATAAAATCATTATATTTTACTTCAAAAATTTTCATTTGAATACTAGTTGAGACAAAAAATATTAAAAGTTTTGTAATTGTTCATGAATACATAAAACTGTTAATTGTTAGAGCATATTTCATTATTTCTGGTGCACATTTTACAAATGTTAGAGCATGTTTGCATGCATATTTGTCCTTTTGATATACCAATAACTTCCGAGCCTTATTAATATTTGTTGTAGATGTGGTTATTGTTGTTATTTTTAACATCATCATTATCATCGTCATCATTATTATTATCATTATGCCTATTAATAACACATTTCTGTTCCCATGAAAATAATAAAATATATCCACCCATCCAAATGAATTAATAATAATTTTTTTATTGTCAAATTCTTAAAAGTAAAATTATTTTCTGCACTTCCCGGTGTATTTTAAAATTCTATGACCTTCCTGCCAAATCTAAACCAAAATGTGCGCTGTTAAGGCGTGTTCAGTGGAAATATTTGCCATTAAAGTTGTCAATGTCTGTAACTCTCATGTGATTCACAGATATACTAAAACCATAGACTGTTACATTTTGTGAACCACATATTGCTCCCAGGACAGAGAATATGTTAGAAGTATTTTCTGTCACATTCTGAATACATTTATTCCAGAATTTTCAAAGGAAAGTTCCCAACAGCCAATTTGAAGTATCTCTTCCTCCAAATCCATTTCATTATTGGAATTTTATAAAACTTAAAATTAACAATCCGATAGAAAAAATTTTATGACTTAAATTACTTATCAGTTAGAAAAATTTACACCTGAACTAGAAGATGATATCACCTTATTGCACTTCCAAAATAACCTAGAAAAACAAATTTTTATAATTGTTACCAGTGTTGTACACTATAGTGATGTAATATTGAAAAATGTGTTTCTCACGATTAATACTGTATCTCAATGGAATATACATTTTTTTGACATGTAATGTAATTAACTGTATTCTTTAGACAATTTTCTAAGATGTGATAATTTTTCTATCAATTAAAACTAAAAATCGAGAGATAAAAATCACAGAAATGTATAATAAGCCAGTTTATTAACCACAAGAAAAATTAAAATTGTGAAACTGATGAGTTTTGTAAGTCCGAAAAAGGGGTGGACCACACAGTGAAATTGAATCTATCAATTGATTATTTACTTATTTTTGGGTGAGGGATCCAATGAATACAGTAATTTTCTTCCTAAAACAAGCATTCGCCTTGAAATTCTAAAACAACTTGTAAAAAAAAATTTAAATGTAAAATATTCCGTGAAATTAGTCCCTTTATGTTGGTATTAAATATCAAAAAATCATAAGAAAATAGTGCATTTCTTAGAAAACTGTCTAAAGAATAGTTGATTAGTTTACATGTCAAAAAATCGAAATTCCGCTGAGATGCAGCGTCAAAAGTAAGAATAGGGTGAAAAACACAATTTTCCATATTATGTCACTAAGGTAACATATATAATTATAAAAATTTGTTTTTCTAGGTTATTTTGGAAGTAGAATAAGATAATATCATCATCCTCTTCCAGTTTGGTCATGGGCCAATTTCACCTATCGTATTCCACTATACCCTGTATGTCCCCCAAAATCTACCCAAAAAAGTACACCAAGCAGATATCTGATTATTCAACTAACCTTGCCAAGGAATGCCATGGCCACAGCATTTCCAGCATCTGCAGCTTGAAGAAAATAATGTAAAGCCTTCTGATGGTCCTGTTGCACTCCACGACCTCCCTGATAATGAAGTTGACCTAATCCAACCTAAAATATTTTAAATTTTACTTGTGCTACACATTTCTTGGTCATCAAAGTCCAGGAAATCTGGGAAAAAATATATTACCTGGGCTTGTACATCCCCCTTTTCTGCCAAAAGCTGGTAATATTCCAGGAGATCATTATCAAAATACCCTGAACTATAACCGGGATTCTCAAATTCATCTAATAATCTCACTCTCTGCACTGCTTGGCCACCTGATAATGAGACTTCTTCTGCAACTATATTTCAAGTGTTATTACAATACCACTCTACTATATTTCATTAACAATTTTCATACAAAAGATACATACCTTTGTTTGCCACCTTTCGATAATAATCCAATGCTCTTTCACAGCTCATAGAAACAGTAACACCAGTCCAATAACGATATCCCAAAGCCATTTGAGCCCATGTGTTTCCACCAAGAGCTCCAAAAGTATAGTAAACTAATGCACGAGCCTGATTTACAGGAACTGAAATACCAGTGGCATAAAGGAAACCTAAACCCTACCAAAAATAAAAAAATATACATTTATAAAATATATTTATTCACCAACGTGCGTAATAACAGAAAAATTGTAGTTCAAATCACAAGTTGCTAATTTTGTCACCCCTAAAAAAGAGCTTATTTTATTAACAATCAACCTAGTCAAGTCAACTTTAGACCCAGTCAACTTTAGTCAATGTATGACTAAAGCAATTATTAGTAGGGACTTTTTGAATAAGTGAGGCATACAGCAATCGACAGCAATCCCTCAACCATTCTATATCACTTTTGAACATCTGTGCATGTGCAACTCAAACTGTGTACATGTACAGACATGACATTGCTGTTAATTGCTGCACAAAGTCTTCTGAAATTGAGTGGAACAATAGTCTCCCTATCACCCTTTTATAGAGCTGTACCAGCCCATGAAATTTTAGATTTGATTCTAAGTTTTGGTTAATTGGAAGCTGATAGATGCTGTATCTGTAGAACAACAATAAGCAACATTTTGATTCATTTACTTAAAGAATTGAGTACGCCATTTTTTTTATCTCTTCACTAAAGGGAACATGAAATGTATTATCAATTTAGTTCATACCACTGAAAATGCAATATTTAGAGTATTACTAGTGGCGGCTGTTAAAGAGGGACACCATGGTGGCAAAGAATTCTGGATTTCTGGTGGCAAGGAATTTCATGTTATGCAGCACATCAAGACAAATTAATGCATCAAAAGCAATAGTAAAGAAACCAGTTCCCCTGGTGGAGATTTACAGGATCAACAGAGCAAGAGCAGGTTTTGGAAGGAATAATAAATAATACTCCGTCTTGGGATATCATTTCTAACATATTTTAAAACTAGTGGTGCTATAAAATAGCACATACTTTTCGCATTGTTTCTAACTTTTGCCATTATTGAAAATTCAAAACATTCAACAAAAATGAGACCTGGTATTTTTGTTTGTTCCCCTCCCCAGAACAATTGTTTTTTATAAATTTCATTAACTTCAAGCAGAAAATATGCAAAGAATGCTCTCTTTTTAAAAATTTCAGCATGACCTGTTTTAAAGATCTGTATTTCTTTAGAACAGATTTAATTTAATCAAAAATCTCTATGTTGAATATTGTACTTTAGCAACTTTTTGCAACTTTCAAAAGTACAGAGTTTGCCAAAAATAAAACCAGCACTAATTTTCTTACCATGCTTTAATTCAAATGAGAAAAAAATTTAAAGAAAACATATGGAGCTGTTTTGAGAAAATAATTGTTTAAAAATTACATATATATCACACAAAATTATGTGAAAACTACAAATGACTATTCAAAGATCAGTCTTTGAACAACAGATTTTATTTTATTGGAAACTTTCCAAAATACTAATCTATGTCCTGAGAAACTGTAAATTGATAATATTTATTTATGTGGTGTATTGAGATAAAGTTGTGCCAATTTATAGTATAATATTTTGGTACATCACAATACCTTCCCCACAACACTCTCTCTGTAATATAGTTGAAAGACGTGCGCTACTCGCATTGCATGTACTTCAATATTTTAAGCCTGTCAAATTGGGGTTGTGCAAATCACACTGAATTGCAGATAACAACAATTATTTTTATGACATGCAACTACTTATGATAGTAGATAAAAATACAGAGGCCACAGGTTGACCAGGTTCCTGGTGGGGTAGGTCAATGCCCATAGGCCCATACAATTAAATACCAGGAAATGCCCCCCTGAAATGGGATATCCCGAAAGAAGAGCTGGGAAAAGTGCAAGCAACAACGGGGTATGGCTAGCATATCCTGTCTTTCCTCCTCCCCGTGGTGATCCCTGGGCAATGCTTCATGGAATGAGAGTCCAGCAAGTAGTGAAAGAGAGAAGAGCAATGGCGAATCCCCGCTGCCTCAACAGGAGCACTCAAGGAAAACCCCAACAGAAAACTAAGGGGCAGAAGAGGCTCTGTAGGTGCAATGAAGCCAGTCCTCCTAAGGGAGGCAACCCTGACAAAAAAAAAAAGAAAAGAAACAGGTTCTCCAAGGTGCCAGGGGTTAGATCTAGGCTAGCACCATATTTCTGGAAAACCTTAACTGCTTGTAAAGCTCAAAGGATAGAAGGTGATTCCACTCTAAGACGAACAAGGCATATTAAATGGATGAAAGAATTGTTGAACATTCAATCATGGAACGTCATCAATGCTACAGCAACGAACCAAGAAGAATACACAAAATAGCAGAAGCGATAATACAAACGAAGATGGGAGTTACAGCAATACAACTGAAATTAGATAGCAAGGAATGGGGAAAATAAAGAAAGAGAAATATTCTATTTACTACAGCTGCAATAATGAAAGGACTGGCCAAAGAGGAACTGGATTTATGGTAATGAAAGAAATTGAGAAATCAATATGAGGTTTTGAACCTTATAATGAAAATCTATGTAAACTGTGAATTAAAGGGAAATTTTATAACCTAAGTCTTATAAATGTAAACCCACAGCAGACAAAGAATAATTTGAAAATGCCAATGCCTACACCTATACCATAGATTCAAAACAACCAACTACTACTGATGATACCACTACAAATTCATGTTCATCAAATTACTTGTCTGGAACAGTATAGTACATATTAGAAAGTTATCTTGCTATAGGCTTGCACATGGGGGTGGGGATGGTGGGGGTCCCATCACCGCACCTAATCAAACATTTTATTTCTATGAATATGATCAATTCCTTATTTTTTTCTTTAAGCTGATAATTTGGGGAATTTATACATGACATTTGGGGAGGATAAATCATCAGACAACCCTGTACACATTACAACATATAATCAAGTCAAGTTAACTTTAATTAAACTTTAATTTTTAATTATGATTAAATTTTTATTTAATTTTCCTTGTTGTATGTTTCAGTTTGTGAAGTAATTTAAACATGATGTTCCAACAAAAGAATTTAAGTTTGTTAGTAAGACTTTCATTTAACTTATCAGATGATAAAATTAAATTTACAGGCTTAATTTGTATGGTACAGTACAAACCATGGATTTTAGAACTTCATTTCTTTTTTATAAGTTGCAAACAACAATCTGAAGTCAAATGTGTGAAGACGATTTTGTAGTAAGTTATACAGAGAGAAACATGCGGACCTGGATGGCCGAAGTGACTAGGGTGTGTGCGACTCAGTGCCTTGGTGTGAAGGGTCGTGGGTTCATGTCCCGCCACGGGCATGGTTGTTCATCCCTTGTGTTTCATGAATATGTGTTGTCACGGAAGGTCTTGTGGGTCTGCTGACCACAGATCGACAAGCCTGCAACTGTGTCTAGTGCAAAAAGGTTATGTGTCCCCATGAGGGACATAGTCTCCACAAGGGACATACGGTGTGTTGTGCAAATAGATGAAATAAACATCCTCTGAAGGTAGAAAAAGCTCAAGAAAAAATATAGAGAGTAAAACATACCATGTGAGCATCAGCCACCCCAACAGCAGCAAGTTCTTCAAAGACCATACGAGCGGCTTCAATATCCTGAGCCAGCCCGGATCCCAGGAGCTGTGCCCAGGCAACCTGAATTTTCGCTCCATGGTGGCCAAGTTCTGCAGCTCGCTGCAAAAGTTTATAGGCAGCTGCTTTGTTGGGCCTAGTAGCATTCAGCATTGCCATCCCTCCTTGATATAACTCCAGAGCTGAAATTCATATCAGATTATAATGAAAATTATTTTAATTCATCAGATATTTCGTCAATTGAGCCATATATCATTGCCAGTCGCATTCACTAGAACATACAATTTTCAGCTGCACAAAATATTAGTGCATTAAACATTCAATAAAATATGCCAATTCATTTTTAATTATTTTTGGTTTAATTTTTCACTAAAAAAATGCACAGTTCATAAAAATATGGAAAAAAGAGAGGTTTTCCAGCAATCCATTGCAACTATTAAAAAATGGAAGACGAATTACAATCTGTCTTCAAAAGTAGTGTCAGTATCAAAGTTGAAAATAACTTCACATACAGTAAAACTTCACTTATGTTTTTCAAGGGACCAAAGGGAAAAAATATATAAGTATAAGAAAAACGCTAACTGAAATTGATTATGTGCAAAAAACCCCCCAATATTTTTGCACTACCGTTTTACCAGTTATTTAGCAATAATTACCCCTGTTTGTTGCCACTCTCCCCGTCAACTTTTACATTTTTTAAAATTAATTTTATCTGATATTGACAACTGGTGACGGCGACCCGCGGCTTGTTGCTTCGGTTTCAAGCTTGATGTTACTCGACATTCCGCGGGTAAAGGCGCGGCGTTCTAACGTGGACGACTGCCACAGACTGGCGACACCCACCGCGCAGCATGGAAAAGCGATCAGTTTCGTTAGCTGCTTGTGCCAAGCCGCTCCCGAAAGGTTCTCGTATGATAATACGGCGAGCAAAGGGCCTTCGGAGACTGAGACAGTCAGCGCACACACTTCACTTACTGGTCATCCACGTCGTTACTCTCTCCCGGGGACGCCTTTTGCCCTTCCCTCGGAGCTAGCCGTCGCTTCCGCACAGGAGATCATCAAAAAGCTCCTTTTCGCACCAGACTCAAAATTTTTCTAAGTTTCGCTGCCGGAGGTGGCCCGGGAGTCGACTTTGCCGTCGACGCCGAGTCGAGTTTCATTAGCGTATTACAAGTTTCATTAGCGGAAAGTCGCCTCAGACGCAGGGCGACAGACAGGTTACAGAGATAACTAGTGATTTCTTTTTCATTATTAATTAATTTATTTTAACTAAGAGGGAAGCTTATTTCTGAACTTGTAAAGAAGTACTATTTATCTATAATGCTGCCCTACAATTTTTAAAGGACAACAGCATTCATTCTACCAAGACAACATGCACCTATATAGCAATATTCATTAATCGATTAAAGGAACGAGTTCAATGATAATGATGTGATGAGTGCATGTCATTTGCTATGGTCATTAGTCCTGTCAGTGGACTTTATCACAGGAGGTAGCGACATTTCTGTTCACTAGAGAGAGGCAGGAGTTTGTACTCACATACATACAAAGCCACTATGCCTGAAACTGTCCTATAATATCATTGATACTAAGAAAATACTTAACTTCAAGAAATCATGATAAGAAATAACAATCAGAAACTCAATATATCAAATAGGAATCTACCAATACAATTAATGATTAGGCATCAAAAAGCTATGGCAATACAATGTAAATGAAACTGATTTTCTAACTGTCTTTCCTTCTTCAGAATTTAAATAAGTGGCTGTGGCAGTCAATCTACATGTCGCCCTGTATTTCCCCTCCTGGTCCGTGCCCCAATGCCAGCTCTACTAAATTCTCAACGGTAACACATAACAATTCTCAATGATTTAAAAAGAAGTCTTTAAAAAAATAGAATAAAAGTGATTGATATACTTTTCACGGAAGATTCAGAGAGTAAAAAAGATGGGCACAGCAGTAAACAAAGGAGAAAAATCCTACTTTACTGGAAATTAGCTAAAAGAATGTTTTTCCCACAAAGCCACCATGCAAGAAACTGTCCTAGAATATCATTCATACTAAGAAAATACTTAACCTAAAGAAATCACGATAAGAAATTACAATCAGTACGTCAATATATCAAACAGAATCTACCTACAATATAATTAAGGAGTAGATGTCAAAAAGCTATGGCAATAAAATGTAAATGACACTGGTTTTCTGTTTTTCCTTCTTCAGAACTTGAATCACTGGCAGAAATTCAGTGCTTTTCAATAATCATTTTTTGTTGCTATAATTATTCATTCGTCCCTTTATTAGGGAAACTTAAAGATAATGTATTTGCATTTAAGAATATATATCTTCAATTCCAGACAAACTTACTTTTATAAAAGTATTGCAGTGAAAATATATGTGTTAGCATGATTGAAACAAAACCACAATTTTCTTTAAGTCATCTAAAAATGTAAAACGTTAATGAAATGACATTTCCTTCCTAATTTAAATTCAGCCACATTGAAGAAGTCTTCAAAAGGTACTGCAAAATAATTAACATATAGTTTAATAGAAAAAGCTTAGATTGACTAGTGAAAAAGACAAAATGTTTGTGAAGAAAAGAGGAAGAGCAGCAAAGGCACAAAACATACAAAGATCAAAGATGTAATGGTTAATTTTCCTTAACATCAAATTTTAAAATGTCAATGAAAATACACAAAAAAGAACCCTCATGATATAATGTAATAAAAATTCTGATATGTAGATATTGTACAAAACAAAATTTATCTGAGCTGGGTCCAAGAAATCATTTTTGCTTTTTTTTCCAATTCTACTGAAGATTTTTACAATACTTAAAGAGACGTTTTTTGTCCTTGCACTAGGCACTACTACATTTACGACTTTCAGCTACCAGGTTAGCATAACGCACAACTCTTCTCAACACAACACATGAAAGAAGGAACAAATATCTATTCCAGTGGTACAAATTGACCCTCCATCCTTCAGCGAGTATTTGAACAGCCTTAGGCATTCAGGTTGGTAGATTAAATTTTTGTATCACACTTAAATATTTCTCAAATTGCAAACTGTTTCAGGACAAAGGAAATTTAACCTTCTGAGAATCAGATACTATATCACCTATAGTGAGTTGTCCGTAAATTATGTAACGCTAATGAGGGGGTGACAGGGGGGTGAGACAGGGTTACGCTGCATTACTTAGAGGAGGGGGGTATTAGTTTCATGTTACTTAACATTAATATTTATTATTTTTACATTTTTTTAACACTTGCTGAAATAATTTCTCTTTCTGTGTCTTGTACTAAAACATTAAAATATTAACTAATTAATTTGTTTTAAAAACAAATAAATTAAAGCTATTAATGTGAATAGTTCAAATTAGTGGAAATATTTTTTATAATTTTTTTATTGAATCTTTAAGATTGCTTTATTTCATTTTATTTATTATAAAAGCAATAGAATAAAAATTGTCATAATACATCAAGTAAAATAAAATAACATGGGTTAGATACAGAAGACTTTTCAAGCAAGCTTTAAGAAGTCTAAAATGTTACAAAAATTGTTCACAAGTTCATGGATTCTGTTAATGGTATTGTTGGTTGTGTAATTGGATCTACAAAATTTATTACTAAATAGTATTTGATTTTCGGTAATCTCTTCAGAGTACAGAAAAAAACATTAGATAATATTACACTACAATCAATATGTTTGTTAATGACATTGTACAAAAATAATAAGTCATTATAGTCTCTTTTATACGATAATGAAGGCATATCGAACATTTCACGGATCCGAGAATAGTCGTGGCAGAACCTAGACATGGGGGAGTTGTTTATATGTGCAGTTTGATGAAGGAATCTGTTTTGAACTATCTCAATAGTATCAATACAAAATTGTGTATATGGGAACCAGATCACTAACGCATATTCCAAAAGAAGTCTAATGAAATCTTGAAGGTTCTAACATCGTTTAAGTTGCAAGTGTTCCTCATAAGTCTGCATTGTTGGAGGGCCGTCAAAACTTGTAAACAAAACTTCAGTTCGCTGTCAATTATTACTCCAAGATCTTTGATGTTACCAACAGTTGTCTGCGGACAATAGTTCAAGGAATACTGATAAGGTATATGATTTTTAAGATGAGAAAAAGTCATGTCCAAACATTTGTCTAAGCGAAGTTGCATCACATCAGCAGTGCACCACAGATTCAAGTTATCATGCGTGGGAATTCACTTATCGAGATTTTGCTGCAAATGCCGAGCATCGTTCACATCTCGGATCCTGGAGTACATCTTGGTATCATCAGCATATAATAAGGCATGACTATAGAAAAAGGCAGATAGAAAGTCATCAATAAATATAATGAAGAGAATAGGACCCAAATGAAAACCCTGAGGGATCCCTGATACCACAGGAAAAGACTCAAAAGCCATTTATTGACACACCCATTGCGTTCTACCGGTCAAATACAAACTTATCCAAGACAGAAGAGGTTTGTCCATGCCCATCCTGGACAATTTGCCAGGCAAAATTGTATGATTAACTCCGTCGAAGGCTTTAGTAAAGTCAGTATAAATTTCATTCACTTGGTAACCATCCTCAAATGCATCAGCAATAAAGCTTCTAAAAACTGTCAAGTTTTTAATAGATCTGTGGCTCCTAAATCCATTCTGATTTTCAGAAAACAAATTCTTGAAATTCAGCATGACGAATTTAGTTACCAGCTTTTCAAACAATTTTGGGATAGCACTGAGGACAGAGATATAGCGGTAATTCACAACGTCTGATTTGTCGCCCCTTTCTATACATGGAAATCACTCTACTTTATTTTCACGACGTAGGAAAAATACCATTGCGCAAAGATTGATTAAAAAGTATCCAAAGTGGAACCAAAAGTGAATATTTTACATTAATGTAAGAAGATCTTCAGAATTAGGAAAGGCCAGCTCACTTAAAATAACATTCACCTTACCAATTGCTTTAAAAACATCTGCCATATATCAACAGAATGAAAGTCAGTCACACAATTAGAGTCCAAATCAGAAACAACCGAGTAATCTGGTAAGTCGCAGATGGATAATTGTTACTGAAGTATTTAGCATACAAGGAAGCTAAGCGTTGCCCATCATTTTCGAGACTTTCCTCTAGAGGCATCATACAAGTAATTTATTCTGTCAGTATTTCTGATGTGTCTCCAAAATGCCCAAGTATCATCAGCGATAGACAATTTTAAGTAATTTCTTTTTTAAGGCGAAGAATTACAAAGAAAATATTCCAAACTGATAAATAGTATATTCTTGAATCAATTGAAACTGATGCAATAGACTCTCACTCACGCGTCATTTACAATGGCGTTTGCAAGGTTTTTTATAAAAAAAATGTCTTGCCTATGCATCCTTCCAACACTCCCCCATCTTACCGTAAACTAATTTCTATGTTAATTATCATTAATTTTAATATGCAACACAAGTAAAATTAATATGAAATATATTTACTGTCCTGCTATAATTTATTTTCACTTGCATCTACAAAGCGGGGTATTGATGCGTTACATAATTATTTGTGGAGGGTTTGCGTGCATTTTGGGTGCACCACAGGAAAGAGAGGGGGTATTCAAAATACTTCAAATTTGCGTTACATAATTTATGAACAGTCCCTAGAGAACAAATCACGCTTGAGTGTTACTTTAAAATTCACCAAGATTCAATTAAATAAGGAAATTTATTGGACTTTCATGCATAAAGATTACCTTTAAATACCGAAGTGTAGCAAAATGAGTAGAAAATAATGCAACAAATGTGTTGGGAGAGTTGTGCAATACAAAGAAGCTACTTGAAAGCTCTACTCTAATATGCTCCAATAATACTACAAGAAAATGGGTGCTAATGACAAAGGTGCATCAGTACCTCAAAAATGACATTTCGCTAACCTTGCTTTTCCTGAGGACTAAGCTCAGGAGAACTTTCTGACGCTTCAGTAGTCCCTGTTTCCTCACTGGTTTCACTAACTTTCTCCTCTCCATCATTCACAATGTCAATTTCTGAACCCTCCACCTGAGCAATGATTTCCCGAATCCACTTCTTTTGTTTGGAAAAAAGATCTGCTTCCTCATCTTCAGATGTACCCTCTGATTTTCCCTCCCCAACTTTTGACAAATCTGGAGCAGGAACAATTCTCATTGCTTTGGAAGCTATATCTTCCATCACTGAACTGTGCAAGTCATATTGTTCTTCATTTTTACTCTCACCCTCATCTTCCTCCTTTGGATCTTCACTTTTCCTGTCTTTCCCACTCTCAGCCCTGGTCCCAACCAGTAAAAGTAAAAGGAAGACTAGTTGTAAAATCTTGTATCGCATTCTACCTGAAAGCAAAAACAAAATTACTATTTAATTAAAAAATATTATCCATAATTCTAAAAAACTCACCATAAAAACAAGCTACAAAATTTGACAACATTGAGACCATCAGATCTTTTCAGAAAATGCTTTCAGCTCAATCCATGATAATAATAATGATAATGATTGTAAAGGAAGTAATGAAATATTAGGTAACCCAACTCAAATAATAATGAAACAAAAGTCACCAGAATTATATCTTACAATCCAATCTCTTTCAAAGAGCTTCTAACCAATTCATGATGAATAATTATGAAGATAATCTTAAAAGAACTATTGAAATATGATGAAATGAATTGTATATAATGTAATTACTATTGCTATTTTCTATTTTCCAGAAAGACACTATTGTGAGCTTGCTTAGTTTAATCCTAAAACTAAATAAAATATTTTCTTCTGCCAAATTACTCATATTCAAATTGAGTAAAAAGAAAGAAAACTTTACTAACTAGCACTACATTAGAAATCTGTAACAATTTCAATATTGTGAATTCAAACTCCAAAACAATTTCTAGTAATGTACACACAAAAGTTAATAAAAGAAAATCTGGCAAAAAATATAGTCATTGGCATTAACAGTTTTACGTCAATATCAAAAACTTTTCTTTATCAACTAAGTGTATGAGCTTTATCAAAATATGCCCAAAGGTAGTTTTAAAAATACTTTTACACCAGAAGAATGATTTACAATACCACCATTCCATGAACAGAACCAAACTTTCCTCTTTGCATTTACTTACGTGATTAATTTACATGTATTGCTGGATATCCATCTGCACCACAATTAGGAACCTGAAAAAATTGTTTCAAATTAATTTACATATCACTGTCATGAACTATAAGCTGATAAATTGGAGAATAATGCATTAATACTTCAGTTTTAAGAAAACTCATTTGTCGGTTAAAATCACAATTCCTTCTATTCACAATGAACCAAAAGGCACATGTTAACACTTATATGCTTCTGCTAAAAACACATGACATTTAGTCACACGTAATTAAATGTATACACGACAAGTGGTTTACGTCAAATTCATTTTGTGAATAATTCTGAATATAAAATACACATTAGTTCTGACACCAAATAAATTCTTAACCACTATGAAATTCCCTCAACGATTTTCACAATTAGCTCACCTGTCACAACCAAAAATTTCGACAAACGTTTACTTTTATCACCCAAATTCGTTCCATAAATTACCACGTAATTGCCAATGCCAACAAACACATCATCTGTTCACACGGCAGCCTGCTGGGCCAAGCGCGTCTATGATGCGATTTTAGCCGAAGACGGCCGAACGAACTGTCGGGAAACTGAACACAGGAGGGCCACGTCAAGCCTTTCAGTATGTGATCTTTTCACTAGCCACTTGCATGATTATTTGACAACTGTTCTTACATAACATATAGAAAGGTTTCTCTTATATGAAAGAAATTCATTTTAATCGACTTTGCATATTTATTATAACCAATTTTCTTAATTCTAGAACAACAGGCTGAGACAACTGTAACGTGTAATATTGAAATCCGACAATTATTGTTGCATACGAGTTCTCAAAACTCCTCCCTTATGAAAAATATTTACATATTTGTTCTTGTTTTAAGTCCTTAAATTGAACAACTCGGAACATGTCCGTTTTTTTTATATTCTCTAAATAAAAGAATCTTGGGCGTGGTCGAGGGTGACGACAGAGGCGGGAGCTTTGGCCCCTGATAGGAAATTTAAAAGTTGGGGTACTGTTCTCGCACTAATAAAAGAGCAGCATTGACGTCTGCTCACTATGGAACAGAGGGAATTGAAAAATGAAATCCTATTATAAAATATCGTATTTTTAAACTGAGTTTGAGAATGTAGAAGACAGGGTTTTGTGTATTGTTTTGGTATTAGGATAATAGGAGTTTTGAGCCAAAACACCCATAAATTAAGGGCACACAACCTGTATAACATTTTTACACTAACATTTTGGATTTTCCTCGGATGTACGTAGTAGGGAGAGAGATGTTTAGAACGTGTCTTTCAGGGCTAGCGAAGGAAAATTCCTCCATAGCAGCACTTTCGTCTCTGGGTAACAAATGTCAGATGTTGGGCGCCGCAGGCTAATGGCATACAACACGTACAGTATTTACACTAATGGTTAATCAATGCTGCGAGTTCTAAAAGTGGCATTCATTTCGCGATTAGGAAAGGTTGTGCCAGGAGGCCGAAAGGCCTCAAGGCGCAATCCAACGAGCAAAATAAATACTAATATTGCCACGTGTCATACATTTTTAGAGCCTCACTAACTTTTATTTCAATTCAATTGTACAAATTACTTACATAATTGATTACTGCCAATACCTTCTGTAGAAGGTATTGGAACTGCCTTATATTCAAGGGTACTAGTAGTTGATGCGGTCGGAGGAAAGTATTTTGTTTTCTTTGTTGCATCCACAGTTTTATTTGAACAATTGAATATCGTCTTACTTTTAGCACTAGTGCTAAAACTGAACTTTTAGCACGCTGTACATGAAAGTGGTGTATACAATAACTAGAGTGGGGCAGCCAGGACACGTACTCGAGCTTGTCCAGGGCTTCATTTTACCCAAAGAGTACCATTTTACCAAAGAGTACTCTGATTATACGTAGTTACGCTACTGGCACACCACTATAAGTAACCGTTTTTGCTAGTAGCTCTCTAAAACATTCAGTAGTATACGTGTCGGTTTTCTTTTAGTACGTTGAGAACTTCCTTCGTTGGAGATTTTCCTGTTCCTACACGGATAAAACTAACGTTTTTGCCTTGTGTCGGTAAAATTACTCGAACAAAAAAGTTGTCCACCTATTTCCGCGATACCCGTTTTTGGTGTGTCAACTTGTGGGGCTGTGGCAAGAGAGAGCGGGAGAGACCCAGAGAAAATCAGGGCCCTGGAGCAATCTATCCGAAGGGGACCCTATTTCAAGCAAACAAAATCTTCCTGCCCCAATTCATAAACAGAATGAATTTCTCCATGCATAAGAAATAACTTGTATCATTAAATCTGGATTGAAAATAAATATATTTTATCACGCCGTACGTGGAACGCGGTTTGTCGTGCTTGTTTCCCGCGTACCAATCTTTTTTTTCAGTGTGTGAAACGCAACGAGTTAGAGATATATCTAACTCGTTGGTGAAACGCGAAGTGTGTGCGAAACATCTATAATGATTCGCAATTGTCTTTCGTCTTGACGACGTCTTTGTTTATTATTTACAAACAGTAGAGCTAAGACACTGACTTCAATTCATTCGCCCTTTTTTTTGTTGAAATGAATAGTTAAATTGGGTAATAATGAATTAGAGACGGTTAAACATACAATTATGTTCTTATAATTAAATATTTGACTTATAAAGTAAAGAAGATATCCACCACTTTGCTGGATATTTTTAACAAAATAGTACTGCTATACCAGCACATACTCTCTCGCATCATTTGTAACTGCTCTCATTATTTACAGCACATAATACAGGCACGCAAGGATAATATCACACATAAATTGAACATCGAGAATTAAAAGTCATCCAATATATCGCATTCTGAATTCCTTCGAAAGGATGGTATCATTACTTTATGCATATCTGTATACACATTCATCCCGACTTTAATAAAATTGAATATACCATTTTATTGAACCTAGAGAACATTGTAACACTAACGTTAATTAAATAAAACCACCTTATCTTATCTTTCCCATCAGGCCACTTCTCAAATGAACTTCTCAAATATCCATTGCTGTGCCCAGTGCATATAATAATATAAAATTATGATAAAAAATTATTATAACAAAATTATGACACTCAATTATTTTCTACTCGTTTTGAATTACTCGTTCTATTGCTCTATATGGGTGATGATGCGTAAATTTTGTCAGAGTTGTGCTAGACAGTCTCTGGATGTCTTCGAGATCTGTGTCGCTCCATGGTATGATTATGGTTCAAATGAGTATGTATGCACTGGTACTGCAAATATGTGGATTGGTTTTATCATGTTATTGCCTGTTAATTTGAATTTCAGGATTGCAGTGATTCTTGATTTGTAAAGTTTTGTTAGATTTTGTTTGATTACCTCGTCTGTGATTGCTGCTTGATCGAATCCAAATTTACTTGTATATTTCTGTAGCAGCAGTCATCAATGCCAAAACTCATATGGATGACTTCGGAAAATGTTCGAGTTACTGAAGCTGTCTGTGGAACTGTTAAGTTGGATATCATTCACGTACATCAAATGTGATATCGGTCGAATAGTTTTTTGTTTTCACGAATTTGAAATCCATAGTGAGTACTGTTACATTGTGCTGGCAAAGGTTTAGAGCCAGACAGAACAACAATTAAAGATATTCCTTGGAAAATTCCCCGCTTAATTCTGATGTCCTCTGTTGTGATTGTTACCTGTAAGTCGTGGAGCCGTAAGGACAAAGTTGTTCTCCAATGAGTCACTATCCGTTCCGTTAATTTTGTATATACGGGGAACTTCAACAAGCAAATTGTGAGGAACATTTTTTAAAGATTTTTCCTGAATTTTTTTATAGTTACACGTTCAGCCGAAAATCTAGTGGATACGCCAGAGTTTCTACATATGTTTACTTCTACAGCAAGATCTTAGTACTTAATAATTTTGTCGTCATCTGTTTTCTTTAGATTGTATGTCAACTGTATGACAATATCAATAAGCATAGATTCTTTCATGTTACTGGCAATCAAAACTGTTTCTGGCCAATTGAAAGTCACAGTTTTATATGTTAATATGGGTCTATACCAATAAATGATATTATTAGCTTCCATTTTAGGTGTGGATTGTATTTATAATACGATGGATTCCACTATGTAACTTTCTATGCTTCAGAGTCAATTGATGGACAATATTAGCTATTTGGTAGCGAGAAGATAGTAATAGTAGATATTAATGGCCGGTTCTGCATCACAACATCCGGTGTAAACTTTCGGTTGCGGTTTGTGGATATCCGGTGAATGTCCAATGTAAACATCCGAATCACGAACTGATCGTACGCGGACCCTTGTGACGTCTCCAGGCCGCGCGGACGATCATATGTTAAGACGTCTCAAGGTCGCGTGGACCGTTCTTGCGCCGACGTGCGTCTTCCTCTGCGAGTGGGATAGAAGGTCGTTGCTCTCCTGTGACAACATCAACTGATTTACTCCTGTAGCCTTGTCTAGCCCTGCCTTGCCCTAATATACCTACCTACCCTACGTAAAAAATAACTGGACGACTAAAGGAGGAGGAAGAGGAGCGTAGGTGGAGTCCCTGTCTGGTAGTGACTCAGGGGGTAAATAAGAATGTGAAATATATTGTTGGAAAACATACATTTACTTTTTTAACGTTTGAATACATGACTATGAAATACAAACACACACGAAATGAAAATCTTATAGTTTTTGTAGAGAGGACCTCGTGTTTTGAGATTGACGGTGTCATTTTTGTCGACGGGGTGGGCGACGCTGGCAAGTCGTTTTTCTTGAAAGTGGCAGTGTTCGATGCTTCCACGTGGCGAAGAGTGCGGTAAAGGGTGTTGCGCTTGATTACATCAAGTCGATGTTGAAGCATGTCCTCGTAACGTTTTGGGCCAGCGTTGTCTATGTGAGTGGGTGCCGCCAAGTTAACGATGCGCGTCCTCTGCACGTTGATTTTGCCGGGTTTTCTGAGTCGAAGTTTCGGAATTTTTTCGAGTTGTTTCAGAATGTTGTTCACTTGGCTACAACATGATTTGGACACAGTTTCACGTGCATCCGTAGTTACCAACGTTTGAAATACGAAAAACATGAGCGTTGAAGGGTCCACTGATTTCCCATTGGCATAAACACTACACTGATTTACAATCAATGCATCTTCGGTGCACATATCCTCGTTCGATTGAAGACTTTCCACTGGATTTCGCGCTGCGAGTTCTCGTGCTTCTTCACACGGTTCGTCCACGTAAGTTGTGGTGGTAGCATCTTGTCCGTCGGCAGAGTTTGCGAGATTCTTCACGCGTCGATTTTGCATATTTTCCACGACGTTGCCTCCGCCGTTGCCGTTTCTTCCCGCACATCGTCATGCATTTCATGTTTATCGTGGAATATTCGCCATACATCTTGATTCGGTATGTTGTTCACAGTGAACTAATAACAACACTGTGCATGCTCTTGACTGTCGGGGTGACGCCGCGTCGAAGGCTGTTGCGGACGTTTCTATCATCTTGCCGTTGTCTTCCTCAGGGGTGGTATGCGACTACTTCATAATAACAACGCTGCCGACACGTCTCTTATTACCGATACCTCCTCCCACCCTCCACCACTTTACCAACCACCTTCAACAACATGACGTCACTCATGCTCGCAATCGTGGAGGAATTTTCCCGGCCACGTGGAGGAACATCAATCCCGACCAAGAAAATATGTTGACCGCCGAGATCGCTCCGCTTGAAATTTTCAGTAAAATACACATTAATATCTACTCGCGTTTGCCTCTGCAAGACGAATGTATATGAGAGCTCGTATTGTCTCAGAGCCGCGTTTATCCATCTCGACAAGGTGTAGAAGAAATTCCGCCAAAAAACCTCGAATGGCTAAAAGTATATTCTCTTCATTCTCATCTTCATATTCTTCAACTCTCGCCATCTCCATATTTCTTGACAACGGTGGTTTGGGTTCTAAGATGAATCGATGCATCGGACATGTTTGCGCTTCCTTTTAAATTTGCCTCTTCAACTATCTTTCAATGCGATTTTATCAAAGTATACGATTACAGATTGTTTAAGTCCACACACTAATGTCATTGTTATAATAGAATAGACAAATAGAACCGGGTGATTTTGTCTGCATACTACGGTAAAAGGAGGGGAGGAGTAGAATCTGCTCTGGTCGAATCCATGATGAGGATGTAGTGCACACGTGACTCCAATAAAAAGGAAAATAAAATGTTCATAAAAGAAAGTACCCGAGAGCGGCCCACCATGACCATATAACATACTTCCAACAATCATACAGTCTACCGAATCCATGTCGACGATGTAATATACAATTTCAAACATCCTACGATTAAAAGACATGTAGTCCCGCTTCGGAAGAGACGGTCTGTCGACGTGCGTGCGTCCGGTTGTAATGTTTTAATCAGATTAGAAGTTCGAAAATGCATGGGAGCTTTTGAACGTCTTCAGGTGGTCGACTAAAGACCGCACCCACGTCCCTCGGTGCTGAGAAATGTCAGAGAAGTGCGACAGGTAGATGTTGAAGATTCTCGTCGTCGAGCGTTCTGAGGTTTGTGTAGTATTGTTTTATGGTTTCGTTGATGGCTTGGATCTGCAGTCTTTTAGCTAACTTGAGGATAGGAGTGATTTGTATATGATTCATGTTTTCCTAGTTGGTGGTGCAGATGATTAGATGATTTAGGTGATCCGTTCCATGCGTCCGTTTCAATGAATGATAGAGTAAAATATGTATCGATTCGATTTTGCGTTTGTTTGCATGCCCACCAAATCCGCTTGCCAAAGGAATCGATTCCTTTCGTAATTACACGTCTTCTAGTCTAAAGACGTCAAGTAGGTGAGTGCAATACTCTCGCTAACCCTTCTTACACGCTCGAGGTGGTATATTTTCTCTTCATGATCTGACAGCTCTTTAAACAATAATACCAGCATCACGCAGTTCGTTTTCTATTTCAATAGTTTCTCCCTAGTGACTCCCTTTCCAGCTTCTTTCGATGCGAGTAATAGGCGCAGTCTCGTTAGCTTGTTTGGATCACGCCAATATTTAAAGGCTGGAGACATTACGAAACGAAGTACTTTTCCAAAACCTTTCCAATTTCTCGCTGTCACGCTCACTGTCGCTTGTCGTTGATTCGTAGTGCTTGCTCTTAAGATACGAGGAGCAGGAGGAAATAGTGTTTAAAATACATTGTTGTAGTTCCATTGGTTGTATATCACCGCTCTTTTTGTATCCTTCTCTGTGCGCTTGTAAGTGCTGGAGAATTTTCTTAAAACCATTCCAGTCTCTATTTTCCACAACATCGAGATTCAGTTGTTTTTTGAAAATTAATTCTAGATGGCAGTTGCGCGCTTCGTAATTGTTTTTACCAACGGTGATGTATCCGTTGACATGTACAATGCATCTTAAATGACCAATGTTAAGCATTCTTTTCTCGATGCTAAAAGGAGAGACAAAATGTGGACCGAAAACTGTATCAGCGTTTTCCTACTGCAGAAGCGTGCGTAGATATCGTGCCCACGTCGGCTCTTCAAAATGGAAAGCAGAATCGCAGCTGATTCTAAACAATGGGGATAAATCTTGCAACGTTTCATTTGCTTCATCTAGGAGAGCATCATCAACGTTAAAAACGAATGGGTCGGAGGAGGGGGAAGAGTTGTTTATTGTCTTTTCCTCATCATCATTCTCTGTGTTCACACCTCTATCAAAACCTTTTTCCCCCGCGGTGTTGGTAGTTGTTTTCGCTGTTTCGAGCCTTCTGTAAAGACATTCTTTATCACGGTGGTGTATACGTCTTAAGGAAGTCGGCGCGAGATGATTAAAACCGTCGGAGTGGTTTGAGCATATTGCGAATAATCGAACGAGTCTTCTCCACTTCGACATTCAGTTATTCCCCGCAGTAGTGTGATAGAGCAGTAATAAAGGGAGAGACCGAATATGGCAAGTGCGTTTACGACGATTGATCGACTCTCGCTACGCGTTCGCTGAGAAGTGTTCCTGGTCCTCAAAACTCATATCCACCAAAATGTGTAACTCAAGGGAAGCGCGTCGATAGCTCGATTCATGACACGTCCAAATAAGCCCTTCCAATTATGGTATAAACAGATAGGGCCGCCGCAGCGGCCCAGCGGCGTGCCAGAGAAGCTGGTGGCACACTGGTATCGGCCGACGGGGCATCGGGCTCAGCAATGGAAGGTGCTGGGAGGCGCCGCTAGGAGGCAGGGCGGCAGCAGTGGCCGGGCCGCCCATTTAGCTGGAACGGCGCGGGGAAAAAAGGGAGACTCGCTCCGCAGGCTCGGGAGCTATAATGCTGCCGGCCTGCGTGGCCGGGGGCAGTGATGGTCCGCGTGCAGCGAACGAGCGCAGTGAGAGACGAGGTGCTAAAGGCTATTAGACGTGCAGAGTTGGTAACGGTGATTGTCCAGGTAGTTGATGATTTGTGTTTGTAAAAGGGACCTTTTCTGGAAACCGGCGAACTGTCTTGTACTTAGTTCATGCTTTTGGGCTCGGAATAATAACGATGCATTGTGGATAAGAACAGTTGTCTTCTTAATTGTTCTCGAATATACAACACTTTCCTTTTCAATTTCTATGTTATCACAAATACGCCATATTGCGACTGTGATAGAAGAAAAGAATTTAAATATAATATAGATGAATTTACTTCGGTAAACCGATCGAATCCAGTGCTTTATTTCCCTTATTCATAAAGGCGTGTCTTAACAGTGATGCAAAATGAAAACGGATTTTCATTTGACACGTGAGATCACATGGCTTTAAAATCGCGAAAAGATTAAAAGTCGCTCCCTACATGCTCGTAAATAAACTCCAACTTGTCGAGAAAATATCACCATATTAGCATTTCAGATGTTTGAGAATTTTGGTTTATGTCTGACAGAGGTAGAACACATTCGTATGTTAATGACGTTCGGTAGCGAAGTAGGCTTTTATTATCTTGCTTCCCCTTTCCAATATCATCGAATACGAAGTCGCTACTCGGCTTCGCTTCGTATGAAGGGGACTATACTGCCGCGTTGCTTAAAGGAGTACAAATCAATAACAGCTTCCAACACTTTTCTTAAAAAGATGTACATAGACTGATCTTCAGTGGTCGCTTACAAATTCACGTTTTCGATTTTGAGACCAGTGTGTTGAGAAGTGTCATGTCGACGTTTGTCTTGTCACAGTCCGACGGTCTGACGACTAGAGGTCGCACGCTACCGGATAAGAGGTCACCATCTCAACTCCCACGAACTCCGATTAGATTGCATTTTAACGAGCTGATTACGTTCACGATAGACATAGAGTTCACTGCTACGACGGTTTTTGAACGATGTTCACGTTGGCGAGTGAATAGACACTGAAAGTGACTTATCGATGTTGTGTTTATAATCTATTGTCAATAATTTTATAGATGGTTTTTATTATGTTTATTCTTAGAAAAGTGAACTCGTTTCGCCGAATGGTATTCAAACGACTAAAGATGAATGTTTAAACAAACATTTTATTTTTTTCGCAATGCTAAGTATTTCGATTTCGGATCCGCGCACAGACGGTCTAGCCGACGCTAATCACCTCACTCGTCACTAATGAAGTGACTGCTGTAGAATGCAGAAAGTCGCTTGCGGTAGACGCAAGCACAGACGGAGGGTGAAAAAACCATTCTCATGACACAGCTCTCATAGCTTAGACAGTTGAACATTAGGCTTTTAAATTCAAGGTCCAGAGTACAAGCCCCTGTCCAGACGCAATGTTAGGTCAGAGAAGTGCAGACGACCAATTTTTTATTTTTTTTTTTCATAATTGGAAATGCATCCGAACCAAATTTTAATGTGTATAGGTAGCGTGGAATATAAAGAGCACCTAGTACGAGTACGAAAGAAGATGAAATCATCAGAAGTGAAGAAAACTGAAGTGTTTGAAATGATGATTATGTTTTTTTTCCTGTAGTGGATATTGTGCAGTGATCGAAGAAAATAAGGCAGTCCATGCACGATGATAATCCTTTTTTACCAGATTGAGTGAAGAGGGTGAGAAGAAAGTCAAAATAGGTTGGGGATCCTGTCCACGACAAAGCTCATTCACAGAGAGAGCAATGAATTTCTGAACAATAAAGGGTTAAAACTGTTATCTCTCACAGTAACCTTGCCGTGTGCTTTTTTATTTTCCGCTTATATGACAGAAATTCGGGTATCGAGTCGAGCTAGGTGCTATGATTGCATATGAAGATAGAATTCGAGTATTCTAAGAAGTTGTTGGATGTATTTTGATATTGGTTTTAATGGATGAAAGTTGCATAGA